ACAAGATTTCTCTGTAGGTTTGGAGCCTGTCTTGGAACTAGCTCTTGTAAGATCAGGCTAGCCTGGAATTCAGAGAGATCAGCCTGCCTCGACCTCCCAAGTGCTGGGATTGCAGGCATTCGCCACGGAGTCTAGGGTGGAAAAGAACACTAGCCAACTTTCTTTTCTAAGAGGCTGGAAATGGTCTATATTTCTTGTTTGGGGTGAAGGTCATGGGCATATATATAACTCTCTTATTATATATTATAACTATCTCAATGAAGGAAAAATAATTACTATTTGATCTTAGAAAAATGAGGGTAAAAATGATAAGAATGTCTACTTGTCTACTAAAGATACTTATATATCTGTGAATTTATGGGAATATTCAGTATAGCTGTCTTCTCTTCCTATACCATTTTAACAGAACACTCTCTCATCCAGCACTTTGTCCCCACTAAATTTCCCCATGTGTCAAAGTCTCCAGTTTTTAAAAAAGCCAAAAACTTCTACAGTATCTGGAGAAATGGGTCAAAGGTTAGAAGCACTGGTTACTCTTCCAAAGGACCCAGGTTTAATTCCTACTATCCAGAAGGCTGTTCAAAAACATTTGTAGCCGGGCAGTGGTGGCGCATGCCTTTAATCCCAGCACTCAGGAGGCAGAGGCAGAGGCAGGCGGATCTCTGGGAGTTCGAGGCCAGCCTGGTCTACAAGAGCTAGTTCCGGGACAGGCACCAAAAGCTACAGAGAAAAAAAATTGTAACTACCGTTCCAGGAAATCCAATATCCTTTCTGGTCTCCTTGGGCACTAAGCGTAAAGATGTTCGTGCAGGCAAAACAGCCACACACCTAATGAAAACAAAAGGCTGGGAGTGAGGGTACACACCTTTACAAGGGAAGCAGAGGCAGGTAGATCTGAGGTCAAGGACAACTTGGTCTACAAAGTGAGTTTCAGGCCAACCAGGGCTACACAGTAAAAATCTATTTCAAATAAATAGCTGATTAAATCCTACAAAGTTTAATCTTTTTAAAGAATGCTTAAATGTGATAAGTAGTAAAAAGAAAACATATTTCAAAATCATGTCTAATTTTTATTTTACAGACTTTTTAAAAATAGTCTAAAAGTATTATGTAGAAGACTATTTTTCTACCCAGTACCTTTTCCCTCCCCTTCTTCCTATTTACTCAACCCTCTTGCTCTTTAAACTATGAAATTACAATTTCTTTTCTCATAAAGTCTCCTACCCCCATAATATACATAGAGAGTGTCTTGTTTCAGAACATTTGTAATGCTGTTGTTTCTCTTATTAAGTTCTGTGTAGTATGAACACAGTTTACTCTGCCCCCTCATTCACCATCACTGTATCCCTGTGTACAAATGCTCATAGAATATTTAGTTTAATGACTAAATTAAAACACAATCCAACCAAATCATCTAATGACCCCAAAGTAAATGAAGTTTACTCTTCTTATAAATCAATATGCCTTCAGTTGGCAGAGAACATTTTGGATTAGTATCTATGAGTCACTGAGTAGCTACTTCCTTATCAACCAGGATCTCAAAATACAGGACTGATCTCTGTGTTATTAGTTTCTACCAACACTTAACTCTTCTTTGGTTCTTCCTTAACTGGGCACATTTATTACTAATCCCTGTTGTGTATATTTCCACTGTGAGCTTCTCCTGTAGTTTCTAGGTATCAGACATAAGAGAATTTAATAATGTCCAAGTCAGAGTAGGAAAAACAAGCATGCCCAAATAAAGCACCCAATTCACCAGAACACACTAAATAAAAAGCTAAACCACCTAACAAACTCAACTTCCACTACACTAATTAAATAAATGCTACTACCCTAATTAAGTATTCAAATAAACACAAGGCCACGCCTTCAGACACTATCTGAACAATTTGCTGATTTGTTTTATGAAGACAGAGCCTTCTTTGCAACCCTTGAATTCATGGTCCTCCTGTCTTGCCCTCCCTTAGGGCCATTACAGGTATGGCTGAGCATGGTGGTTTATAGGGACCACATAACCCCTTTAAATCTTACTCTCTTAAAATTCTTATGGCTCAAAAACATAACCATGTTTCAGGCTTCCTACAGAAGCATCAAGGCAGCCCAGCTTTCAGAATCCACCCCCCACTGAAGGAGAGAGTGTCCAGGAGTCTTATTTCTCACTATGTAGAAATAAGACTTTGTACATGTAGCTTTGGCTGGTCTGAGGAGTTGGAGGAAGATGGAGACGGTAGCCACAGTGGATAGAAACAGGCTTTTTATCACATGCTTCAGAGTTCCAGGTTTTGAACTGAAAAGATATTACTAAAATTTAAAAAATACCATGTCAAACATGTACAAATGAAAAACAGCCTTACCAAATTCATTATTACTAATTTAAGATAGAATTATTTCTTTCTAGTGAATTTGGAAAAAGAATTTAGGGAGTAGAGTGGAGAAGGGAGGAGCAAGGGCTAACTACGTAGCCCTGGCTGGCCTTGAAATGCTCAGAAATCCACCTTCCTCTGCTGGGATTAAAGACTTGCATCACCAAGCCCAGAAAAGGGGAGGAAGTAATGTTTGCTATATCCCCAAACTCTAATTTTTCAATAAAATCTTAAGTTCCTTAAAAGTGAATCTATAGACCACAAAGTTCTAAAGTATTACCTACAGAAAATACCCACTTTTAAGTTGGCATGGTACAGCCAGCTTGAAGTACATAGCAAAACACTGTCATCAAGAAATAAAAATATATACATATATAAATTAGAAACTTGAAAATTCACAAGTGTACTAGTTCGGTCAGCCTTAAAGGTGTTAACCAACTCTGCAGAAAAAGAGTTCAAACGCAGAAATACTATTTTAAGCTAACCTTAGTTTTTTTGCCCAGTCTCACCAAAATATTAACTACCACCTTAACAGCTATATGCTGAGACACTTTCTTTTATACTCTGGCTTCTGGTTCATATTTACTATAGAGATCTCATTGTGTGTTCACTGCTGGTTTAGAAGGAGCTATACTCTTTTGGAGTCAGACTCTGAGAATTAACTTCAGCTAAACAATAACTTAGACTTAAGTTGTAGAGTTCAATAAATACAATCAGTCACATAAATATGGGAAGGGAAATACTCTGTATTTGTAATGTCAAACCTATAAATTCCCAAGGCACTGAAAATTCCCATAAAACACTTAAAAGGTATGACATATCCACTGAGTAAATTTCATCAATATCTTATTCAACACATATGAGTATGGAAATTTAAAACAGTGTAAAGTACCAATTCAGTATGCATCAAATATATCATTATGAACACTGGAGAAGTGCTTTAATATGGTACACAAATTTGCAATTCAGAGGCCAGGAGACAGAGGTGGCAGTACCCACAGGGAATGCTCCCCCAAAGGCTTTCCTTTGCTTCTTTCTAGATTGTAGTGGCTGCCAGCAATCCTTGGCATCTAACTCCACTTCAGTCTACCTGTCTTCCCTCTCTATCCAAATTCCCATCTTCCTAAAAAGGCATCAACCATAATATTAATATCAGAATCAGCCCTAATCAAGCATGTCCTCAACAAAAATTCCACAGGAAGTCACATCTAAAAGTGATGGGGGCAGGACAACAATTTCTAAGGAGTTGCGATCCCATTCATCGTATGGTCCTAATCCATCAAGGGAACTGGAGTCACAAGTACATTTATCTATAGAGTTTTGCCTACTATACCTATTTCTCCTTCTTAAGAAATAAGATCTAGAGCCAGGCAGTGACGCACGCCTTTAATCCCAGGCAGAGGCAGGTGGAACTCTGTGAGTTCGAGGCCAGCCTGGTCTACAAGAACTAATTCCAGGACAGGAACCAAAAGCTACGGAGAAACCCTGTCTCGAAAAATAAAAAATTAAAAAAAAAAGGAAATAAGATCTAATTTGTCTTGAAAACTAATTTTGTCCTTTCTCCAAACTTGCAGAACTGAATGATACTCCAGCCTTAGATTCCTTCAGGGGCTGAAACTATCATTTTGTTTTTGTTTTGTCTTTAGAGACAGGATTTCTCAGTGTGGTCCTGGCCGTTCTAGAAAACTTGCTTTGTAGATCAGTCTGGAGCCACCTATCACAGCCTCCAGAGTGCTGGGATTAAAGGCTATTGCCACCACTGCTGGGCTCTAACTATAGCTTCTTAAACAAATCCTTCAGCAATTTTGCTCAAGTGCTCAGTACTTTAAAAAAATACTTCAAGCAGACATTTTTCTAAAGCTTTTCAAGCAGTCTTAACATACAAAGGGAAGGTGTTGGAGGCTATCACTATGAAGCAGCCTAAATTTCCACTGGTCTATAGGTGAAGAGATGAGCTGAGAGGAAAGGAGTAACTATGGGTTTAAGAGCCACTGCAGTAACTGGCCATGAATACACAAAAGAATCCCTATTGCTGACAACCCAGATAAATTTTACAAATTACAACAAAAGTAAATTTGTTATAACAATTCACACAGCTTTTTAGGCATCCTGCAAAATTAAAATAGGGGTCACGTAAGGTTACTGTGATGTTAAATAGCATAAAATAAAAGACGTAAAAATGTGGGATGATCAAGAATGTAAGACTTTTAACATTTCTAAATAGTAAAAAGGTATAAAGTCCAGGCATGGTAGCAGGAGTTTGAGGCAGCCTGGTCTACATAGCGAAATTCCAAAACAACCAGGAGAACATAGTAAGACCCTGCATCAAAAAACAAAAACAATCCAAATCAGGAGCAGGAGAGCGAACATGAGCAAGGAACACAGGACCGCGAGGGGTGCACCCACACTGAGACAATGGAGATGCTCTATCGGGAACTCACCAAGGCCAGCTGACCTGGGTCTGAAAAAGCCTGGGTTAAAACAGGACTCACTGAACATAGAGGACAATGAGGACTACTGAGACATCAAGAACAATGGCAATGGGTTTTTGATCCTATTGCATGTATTGGCTTTGTGGGAGCCTAGGCTGTTTGGATGCTCACCTTACGAGACCTGGACGGAGGAGGGTTTTCCTTGGACTTCCCAAGGGACGGAGAGCCCTGATTGCTCTTTGGGCTGACAAGGGAGGGGGACCTGATTGAGGGAGGGGGAGGAAAAGGGGAGGCGGAGGTGGGGAAGAGACAGAAATATTTAATAAATAAATTTAAAAAAACGATGTAAACGTTAAAAAAAGAAAAAAAAAACAAAAAAAAGAAAGAAAAAAACTAACAAATAAATACATAAGCACCAAGGGAAAAAAAAACAAAAACAAAAACAAAACAAACAAACAAAAAAAACAAAGAAAAAAATAGCTAGGGGTGAGGGGGAGGTAGCTCATGCCTCCCTTTGACTCCAGCATTCAGGAGGTAGAGGCAGGCCGATTTTTGTGAGTTCGAGGCCAGCCTGATCTACAAGTGAGTTCAAGGACAGCCAGGAGTACACTGAGAAACTGTCTTAGAAGAACAATAACAAACACTGAGAAACTGTCTTAGAAGAACAATAACAAACAAACAAACAAAAAACCACCCCAAAGGTACAAGAGATGTTTTAGGAATAGATGTTTATTATATTTTATTTCAAGAATGTGCTATTTAAAAGCTGGGGATGTAGTTAAGCAGTAATGAACACATCTAAGACTCTGTTTGATCCCCTGGCATCCCTCCCCATCCCCCAAAAAGGATTTTACTATTTGAACTCTTCAGTTTATTCAGACCATGTTTGTTGACCTAATACCATATATATATATAACTGGTTTTTAAAATGAGGGGCTAGAAAGATGGCTCAGAAGTCAATAGCACAGGCCACTCTTGCCAAGAACCAGGTTCAAGCACATGGAAGCTAACAACACCATCTGCAATTCCAGGTCCAAGGGGATTAAACTCTCTTTGGCTTCTGCTGGAACCTATAAACATGTGGCATTCACACATATAAACACACACAGAGACACACTAAGGAAAATCATTATTTAAAACTTTAAAGTTTTGAGTCTTTTCTTTGGGTGGATGGGGGGCGGGGGTTGATATAAGGTTTCTTTGTGTAGCTCTGACTGTCCTGAAACTTGTAGACCAGGCTGGCTTTGAACGCAGAGATCCACCTGTCTCTGCCTCCCAAATGCTTGGAATATAGGGGTGTGTCACCACTGCTCGACCTAAGTCAATTTCTTAACAAAGTAAATCCAAAAAATAAAAATTTACTTCATATACACAAAAGAGAAAAGAAATACATAGAAAAGATGGTGAGGGGCTGGAGAAATGGCTTAGTGATTAAGATTGCTGGTTGCTCTTCCTGATGGCCTGGTTTCAATTTCTAGCACCCACATGGAAGCTTATAGGGGATCAGACACCCTCTTCTGGCCTCTTCAGGCACCAGGCACACAAGTAAGTGATGCACAGGTATACATGTAGGCACAATACCTACACATACAAAAGAACAAAATAAAATAAAAAGATGGAGATACAGCCATTTAAAAAGAAATGTCCCTGACAGAATCGTAGACTGCATTTTTGTATCAAGTACCTGAAGATCCTCAATAAGCTACCATCTAAGACTATCCTTTCAGCATTCCATTTGGAAGTATATGACTTGTCTCAAAATCCAATCAAATACTACAGCAAACTACCACTGCTTACACTTCTGCTTCTGAGTAACAGAAAGCACAACAGCTACTCCTGCTTATCCTTTATCATCTACTTATAGCTGGATATATAGTCATATCCCTCAGAGTTCATTTTATTTGGATAATTTGTTAAAAGAATCTGGCAAAATTGCTGGTTGCTTAGCTAGATACAATAATTACTAAAAGTATTTGTAACCTAAATATCTTTACAGTTTTAAGGAATTTCTGTAGGCTAATGTCAAAGAGATAATACACAAAATAGTAATCATTTAACAATAACAAATTTTGTTTTAAAAATGTAATTTCGGCCATTTTGGCACACAGTTTTAATCCCAGCACTCAGAAGGCAGAAGAAGGCAGACACCAAGGTATTCTACATTGTAAAACCTGTCTCAAAAAACAATCAATCACCCAATAATTTAAATCCTCAGGAAACAGAGGAGGGAAAAGTTTTTTTAAAGAAGAGGGGAGGTTTCAGTAACTCTGTAACTTATAGTTCATCTCACATTAATTTTTAATATATCCATATTAGAATGCTCTTTGCTATTAATTACATTCTCTTTCTTTTAAAAGATAAAAACCTACAGCACAATCTTCTTCACAGTAAGCATTTCTCATCAAGAGGATTCATTCATTCAGGTTTCACTGATTTATTTTTTGTAAGAATGTTTGGTTTGTAGGAATGTATGTGCACTGTATATGCACAGCATCCACGGCAGTCAGAAGGCAGCACTGGATCTCCTAGAACTGGAGCTACAGAGGACACACACGTGCCGTAAACTGACCCCAGATCCTTGACAAGAACAGCCAGGACACTAAACTGCTAAGTCATTTCTCCAATCCCAGTCTACCTTCTTAGAAAAGTAACTCCTTCCTTAAGTCTTCTCACCTAATAAGAAAAATTCTAGTTTTTTTCTTGTCATTCCTCTGTTGATACAATTAGCTTTCACTAATAAAAGATACTAATCCCTGGTCTGGGCATGTTATATAAGTTCAGGAAAGGGGACCAGAAGGATGTTATCTTTTAGTTAAGAATGTATAGTTGTAATCATAAGCCATAGATTGTTATGAAACTGTTTTCACTAGATATATGTGGATTGCTAACTCTCTTTTTATTTTAAGCAGAATCTTTAATAAAGTGATATGGGGAAAAATTATACATAGTAAATATACATACACATAAAATGTGTATACAAGTCTCACAAGCAAAATCATTTTATCACTTAACTCAAATTTAGTCGTTATACCAAAGTTCTAATTATCTCTCAAAAATTGTTTTATTAATAAAAATAAAAGAGAAGTTCCCAATCAAAAAAAATTGTTTTATTTTACTTTTATGTATTCTCTTTCCAGAAGAAAATCTGTATCTAGATGGTGTAAAGTACTGTAAAAATATAGTTTAATTAAAGATAATCATGAAGTTTCCAATAGCTAAGTGAACACTCGTGAAATATCAACAAAACCTTTTTATAAGATTTAAGTTCTACTAAAGACACGTGACGTGAAAGTGAACACTTTTAAAAGGTTTATTTAGTAATTATAATCAGATTTACCTAGTTTTAAAAGTCTACCTACAACTGAAGAATCATTTTATTGTGATCAGACAAGCCCATTTAAACAAGTTAAACCGTCAGCTTACTTAGTAACTCAATGAAAATCTGAGTAACTAAAAACATAACGAGATTGATATTTATGTAATTAATCATGCACAGAAAGCAACATTTCAACACAAGGCAGTACAAACATTTGCATTCCTCTCATTTTTTTATTTGAAATAAAAACAAGGTACTTCCCATAATTTTGTGATGAAAATTTCTCCCTATTACCTTTATCACATGATCAATACCATGCCTGCTAAGAAGCAGTACTGTATCAAGATCCATGTCCTTTTATTAGAACAGGGTAATATTTTCAAACATTTGCTACATCTTTCAGGACACAGTAGCACATGCCTTTAGTTCCAGAACTTGGGAGGCAGAGGCAGATGGACCTCTGTGAACTTAAGGCCCATCAGGTCTACATGTTTCAGGCCAGCCAAGGCTAGACAGTGAAATCTGCCTTTTTCTTTTTAAGAATATAATTTAATTACAACACTTCTCCCTTCCCCTTCTTTCCCCCAAACCTTCTCATATACCCTTTAAATCAAGACCCTGCCTAAAAAATAAGGTTGCCAAATCTCTCCTTTTCATTCTCAGGGTCGTCCTCAGTCGGTTTTACCTTGGTTGCTCCTCCAACCTTACCCCTGTCACCTTCAAGTGTCTGGCAAGGGTATGAAAAGGTGAGGTACTGTAGCACCTTTGTTGGAGACCATAGTGCTGTCAACTCAACTGGTCCACACGCTTGCCAAACAAGGCAAGTACCACCTGGACCTCTTTTGCTTTCTTTCTCTTAGGCTCAAATCTTGTTTGATGGCAACCCATGAAAGAAAATTAAGCCAAGGGAAACAGCTCAGAAGCCTGTTAACTCTGGGTATCATTTAAAAGAAAATTTAATCAAGAGAAAGGAAAACAAATAGGATTCCTGCTACTAAATAAAGAGAAGTAGTATTCTATTTCAGGCTACAGAATAAAAAAAGTAATCCTAAACCGGGCGGTGGTGGCGCACGCCTTTAATCCCAGCACTCGGGAGGCAGAGGCAGGCGGATCTCTGTGAGTTCGAGACCAGCCTGGTCTACAACAGCTAGTTCCAGGACAGGCTCCAAAACCACAGCGAAACCCTGTCTTGAAAAACCAAAAAAAAAAAAAAAAGTAATTCTATACAGGTTACAGCAATATGGAAAGAGAAACCAGAATGATTCAAGTAACAAAAACAGGTATGTAATCAGTAAAGAGAAACAAAGAGCATAGAAATGTCAATTCCAATCCCAGCCCTAGCAAACTTTAAGATTATTATCCATCTTTTTCCTTCTCTGGCTTTTTGAGATAGGATCCTGCTGTGTAGACCAGGCTGGCCTAGAGCTCTCAATCTTTCTGCCTCCATCTCTGGAGTACTGGGGTTACAGGTAAATACTACTTCTGGCATCATGCATTTAAGTTTATCCACCAGTCTCACAAGATGTCTAACCATGCAACCCCAGCACTTGAGAAGTAGACGCAGAAGGATAATAAGTTCAACCAGTCTACACAGAGTATAAGATCAATCTGTGCTACACAAAACCCTATCTCCAGTTTTTTAAAACTGGCTATGAACCAATCAACAGGGGAAGGCAGATAAAGAAGTTGATGGTATCTTACAACAGACTAAAAAATTTTTTTATTTTTTTAGAGAGAGAGACAAACAGGCAGACACACACACACACAGAGAGAGAGAGAGAGAGAGAGAGAGAGAGAGAGAGAGAGAGAGAGAGGTATCAAATATGGTGTCTAAGACTTGCTTCAAAATAATTCAGTGGGAATGAAACATGAATGTCCATTATTGAACTGGAGAGCTGGCTCAATGTTTAGGGGCACGCGCTGCTCTTACAGAGGGCCCAGGTTTGGTTCCCACACCTATACAGCAGCTCAAAACTTTCTGTAAACTCCAGTTCATGGTACTCTGATGCCCTCTTCTGCCTTCCACGGGCATCAGGAACACACAATGGTACACATACATGCATGAAGGTAAAACACTCATACATATAAAAATAATATACTCAGCTGTGGACCCTGAATGTTACACTAATGACTAAGAAGTGTCTACTAGTGCAATAACACCAAGTCTGCTATGGAGGTAACCAACTGCTTTCTGATAACATTTGAGGCCCACTCCACAGAAGGAAATTCATGTCTGGTACTGTAAACCTGGCCAAAACCCAAGGCTGGGGAGGCCATAAGATCTAACAGAAAAGCCACTATTGCTGTTTTGCTAAATGGACATATTGTGCCCATCAAATTACCCTCTATTTATATTTATGCTCATAAATCAGTGCTTCCGTCGGCTCTCCCCTGAAAAGCTGCTTTTTACAGTAGGTCATCGATGGTTCCTGAGAGACTCACAACTGGTTGAAGTGCTCAGAATTAGCAGCTGTTGAATGAGATCTCTATAGTACCCCTTCCCAGGTTCAGAGAACATCACCCAAGAAGCAAAAGAAAGACTTCAAGAACCAACGAAAGAGGCCCAGTGTTGTAGAACTGTGTTCAAGGCATGAAACAGTCATTGTACTCTTGAACTCATAAGCATATGTGATCACCTGCATAAGACCCACACAAAATGGGTGGGGCCTGTAAGCGCTGCAGAGTATTTTTTAACTATGCAAGGATGGATTGCATTTGTTTAATCATGTAAAGATGTGTTGCATTTGTTTAATTATGTAACAATGTGTTGCTGCTTTACCTTGCCTGCCTAAGGCATCTGACTGGTGTAATAAAAACCTGAAAAGCCAATAGTGAGGGAGGAGGTATAGGTGGGATTTCCAGGTGGGGAGAGTAAGTAGGAGTAGTTAACTAAAAAAAAAATGCTTCAAAAAGAGTTTGGTTCTGTTTTACTTACATCTGAGATACTAGATTAATTTCAGATAATTCTAACATTAAACTATCAGGCCAGCCTATGCTATATAATGAGACTATTCCAAAAACCAAAAAGAAAAGTATTCCAAAAAACAAATAGATACAAGGCAAGTATACATGCTAAACTAAGTTAAAGATGACTCTACAGTAAGATATATTACTAAATGTTTTCTAACTAACCAATTTTTAAAATTTTTTTTAATTAATTTTTTGGGGGTTTTGTGTGAATTTATATGCCCCACATGCACGTAGGATCTCAGTATGTAGAAGAGACCATGAAATCAACTAGAATTGGAGTTAAAGACAATTGTGAGCTGCATGTGGATGCTGGAAATTGAATCTGGGTCCTCTGTAAAAGCAGCCAGTGCTCTACATTTACTTATTTGGTGACTTTTTGTTTATTTAAGACAGGGTCCTATGTAACAGAGCCAGTGCTCTATGATTGTTTGTTTGCTTATTTATTTGGTTACTTAGTTGTTTTGTTTCTGTTTTTTGAGACAGGATCTCACTAAGTAGCTCTAGCTAGCCTAGAACTCAATATGCAGACCAGGCCTCCAAATCACAAAGACCTGCCTGTCTCTGCCTCCAGAGTGCTGGGATTAAAGACATGCACCACCTTGACTGGCCAGCTAGAGCTCTTAAAGCCTGAGTTGAGTTCTCTCTCCAGCCTCATAACAAACCATTTAAGAAAAAGAGATTTGTTTACTTTTATGCATATAACAGTGTTTTACCTTATGACCTGGTGACTTTTCAAGTCAGAAGAGGACATCAGATCCCCTAGAACTAGAGTTACAAATGGTTGTGAACCACCATGTGAGTGCTGGGAACCAGCGCAGATCCCTCTAGAAGAACAAGTGCCCTCTAGAAGAACCACACCACTGAACCATCTTCCCAGTAGCTAAAATTATTTCTTAGTATTTACCTTTACCTTCTAACATTTCTAAATAAAAACAATGAAATAGATGTAAGATTTGCAAAAGATATAAAATGCCAAGGAACTAACACACACCTTTACCCTGGCACTTGGGAGACAAAATAGGTAAATTTCTCCAAGTTCAAGGTCAGCATGGACTACATACTAAGACCCTATCTCAAAAAGCAAAACACAAGAAAAAAGAAAAATTTGTTTCTATAGAGAAAGAATGGTGGTAACAATGGGTTTTCTGATACTTTTTCATTTCTATATTAAATTTTAAGTAGTTAATATGTTTACCTGCTTAATTCTACTTATCAAAAATCTGAGATAACCTAGTTTACATCATCATCAGTTTCTGTTATTTGTGTATGGTTCAGAAGCTGTAAGACAGGCTGCTTTGCTGCTACGCTGCAGTTATTCTGTGATAGTTTCAGTACAATTACAAGGTAAAACTGCAAATTTTCCTCTTTAACATGAAATTCCAGTCTCCCAGCACCAAAATTTAAAATGTCAGTCTAAACACCGCTGGTCACATCCGTTTCTTTTAACAATCCCCTTTGACACATCTCCTACAATTAAAAATACACAATGAGTTCATTCATAAGTTCATAAGAAGCACTTCAAATACTAGTTTTATGTCTACAATTTTGCTGGCTTCTGTTTCAGAAAAAAAGATTGAGCTACTCAAGTAATTCTCTCCAACAAAATAGATCTAA